TCACCTCTTATTGCCCCCACTGCTGGCCTGGTCTCTCCCAACTGACCCCCTCTGCTTGCCTGGTTGCCCCCAACTGCAGCCCTCTGCCGGCCTGGTCGCCCCTCACAGCCCCCCTGCCAGCCTGGTCGCCCCATGCAGCCTGCTGTTCAGTCATTTAGTCATCCCTCACTAACCCAACCACCACCCCAGACAGGTGTCAGCTTGCTCTCTATCCATGAGTCTGTCTCTATTTTGCTTGTTAGTTCATTAGATCTACATATAAGTGAAATTATATGGTATTTGTCTTTCTCTGATTGGCTTATTCCCCTTAGCATAATGCTCTCCAAGTCCGTCCATGCCATCACAAGAATGAATTTCTTTGTCTTTTACAGCTGAGTAGTATTCCATTGTGTAAATGTACCATAGCTTCTTTGTCCTCCCATCTACTGATCAACACTTGGGCTTCTTCCAAATCTTGGCTATTATAAAAAACTAGAGTCCCGATGTATGAAATTTGTGCATGGGTAAGGTCCCTAGGCCTCGTTGACGATCAGGGCCGATATGTGGGGCGACCGGCGGGGTGATCAGAGAGCCCCCGCTGGCACCTGCCTTGGCCAGCCTGGGTCCTGTGGGCTGGGGGCAGCTCCTGCATTGAGCGTCTGCCCCGTGGTGGTCAGTGCACATCATAGTGACTGGTCGTTCCACCAGTCGGTCAATTTGCATATTAGGCTTTTATTATATAGGATAGGATGCTGCAATGAACACAGGGGTGCATATATTTTTTAAAATTCGTGTTTTCGTTGTCTCCAGATAAATTCCCAGATGTAGAATCACTTGGTTATAAGGCAGTTCTATTTGTAATTTCTTGAGGCACCTCCATACTGCTCCCCACAGTGGCTGTACCAATCTTCATTCCCACCAACAGTGCACAAGCATTCCTTTTTCTCTACATCCTTGACTATACTTGTTGGTTGTTGATTTATTGATGATAGCCATTCTTCTAGGTATGAGAGGATATCTTGTTGTGGTTTTAACTTGCATTCCTCTGATTATTAGTGACATTGAGCATCTTTTCATAGTCTAAGGACCAATCTGTATGTCCTCTTTGGAGAAGGATGTATTCAGGTCCTTTGCCCATTTTTAATTGGATTGTTTGTTTTTTGGTATTGAGTTTTATAAGTTCTTTATAAATTTAGGATATTAACTTCTTATCAGATGTATTGGTGAACATGTTTTTTAACTTAGTGTTGTCTTTTCATTTTGTTGATTGTTTCTTTTTTTTTTAAAATATATTTTATTGATTTTTCACAGAGAGGAAGGGAGAGAGATAGAGAGAGTTAGAAACATCGATGAGAGAGAAACATCGATCAGCTGCCTCCTGCACATCCACCACCGGGGATGTGCCCGCAACCCAGGTACATGCCCTTGTGTTGATTGTTTCTTTTGCTCTGCAAAAACTTCTTAGTTTGCTGTAGTCCCGTTGGTTTACTTTTCTTTTGTTCCCCTTCCCTAATAGATATATCAGAAAAAATATTGTTATAAGAAATGTCCAAGAATGGTCCTTTTACATTTCTTGTACTACTGGTTTGGTGGTAACAAACTCTTTTACTTTGTCTTGTTGGAGAGGCTCTTTATTGCTACTATTTTAAACGATAGCCTTGCTAGCTAAAGTAGCCTTGGTTGTAGGTCGTTGCTTTTCATCACTTTGAATATTTCATGTCAGTACCTTTTGGTCTGAAACATTTCTGTTGAGAAATCAGCTGACAGTCTTATGGGAGTTCCCTTTAGGTAACTGCCTTTTTCATGTGGCTTTTAAGATTCCCTCTTTGTCTTTTATCTTTGACATTTTAATTATGATGTGTCTTGGTGTGAGCCTCTTTAGGCCCTTCCTGCTTGGGACTCGCTGTGCCTCCTGAACTTGTGTGACTTTTTCCTTCACCAGTTTAGAGAAACTAACTTCTGCCATTATTTCTTCAAACATGTTCTCTATCCCTTGTTGGCTTTCTTCCTGGTACACTGATTATGTGAATATTGTTATGTTTCGTACTGTCCCACTGCTCCCTTAAGCTGTCCCTCTGTTTTTTTATTGATTTTCCTTTCTTGGTCCTTG